TCCTATTTATGGATCTTTCCCTGTTCTATTGCACCCTGGAGTTGCTTTGGTAATACTGCTTGGTCCCAGGAAATGCAGCAGTGTCATCTACAAAAGTAGCTGTAGATTTGGATTACTTGGTAGCCCTCTCTCCTCCCAAGCTTAAATGACCACATGGCATAGCTTAGCCACGGAGTCGTGCTTGAATACTGCAGAGCCAAGTTTGCCCAGTGGGGCACGTAGTGCCTTTGCTGCAAGGGGATATTGGTGTCTTGGGAATGGGGTGTGTGCTAGATCAGGAGCCAAGGTCAGAGTAGGTTTCTGCTTTTCTTTTTGCACGTGTTACTAGCAGTTGGGATAAGACTGGGTTTTCAGATATTTGAAGGAGGTGTTCAGGGCTTTGTGCACAGAACTTTAATGGTGTTCATTTTGTCATGTTTTCACAGGCTTCCTGAGGGTTTCACGCAGTTGCGGAGCCTTGGCCATTTGGCCCTGAATGATGTGTCCCTGCAGAGCCTCCCCAATGATATTGGGAAGTGAGTACGCCTCCACTCCTTATATGATGGGGGGTTCATGCTTTTAGGGTGGCAACACTAGCAGGATTTGTGGGGAAACTGTGCCCTCCCAATCACAGCTTGCCACTATACTGAATGTACTATCTGAGCACCTCTGAGCCTTACCCTTGATGAAAGATAACCTTTTAAAGAGGTTCCTTCCCTGGACTCAGCTGCTTCTCCTCCTTCACTCCCCCAGTAGCGTTTCTGCCTTTCCAGTTGTGTCAAATCAGTTGTTGGTGTGTGAGTATTGCAACTGAGTGGGTAGGAACCTCAGCTGGAGGGTTGGTGAGAATAATAGTTTATCATTTAGGTTGGTTGTGCTCAACTTGCTATTTATGTATGAATCCCCTGCATAACCCAGCAGCTAGATGCATGTCACTGTCTCCAGGTTCCGGTTGGCAGCTGCAGTACAGGGAGAAGAAAGCACTCAATTGTGCTTCCACAGACTGTCTGTGGCACAGGCAAGGAGTGAATCCAGGCCTCTCAAATCCTAAGAGTCTGTCTTTTCTTCTGATATGAGTACCCGTTTGCCCCCTTCCAAGCAGGTGTGTTCTGTCTGGTGATGCTCACGTGATGAGTGCTGCTAGCAAATGGCCAAGACAAAGCCCTTGTGGCACTGCCCATGAGATGTAGTGCCTCTCCCATGGGATTTGACTTCCTGCATGTGAGGGTTTTTATCCTTCTGGGCAGGCAGTCCTGTATGTAATACTACGTTTCCTTGCCCTGGGTTTGGACACAGCGTTGTTTCCCCATGACTTTGCAATAGGAAATCACCATCATCATGAGTGATTTAAGATCCTTTTTGTTTTGTGTTTTCCCCGCCACATACATTTTTGCACACACACTTGGACATATTCATTTGTGCAGGCCATGAGGGTCTGTCCCAAGGGAGAGGTATGAGCATCTCCTTGTGTCCCTGAGGCCCTATCTAATGAGTCTGGCTTCCTTGCTCCTTTTTCTCTTGCAGTTTGGCCAACCTGGTGACTTTGGAGCTGCGTGAGAACCTGCTAAAGACTCTCCCTACGTGAGTATCTATCTGATGGTTTCAGGAGTATCCTGCCTGATTATTATTATTATTATTGCATTTCTCAGGGACTTGTTGTCATTGTACTACCGACTGTAGCACTTTGCTTGGGAGGGCTTGAGGCTTTGAGCAAATTAGCTGTATCTTGCTGAATTTTTGTAGATGTGGGTGAGGAAGGAGAGAGATGGTACAGGGCTCAAGAACAGGGAAGGGTATTTAGGGTCTATACTCAGTTTCTATGCCGGATTGATTTGGAATAGACAGGGTTCCAAGGCAGCCACTGGAAGTGATGAGAACCCTGGAAGTGGAGCAAATGACAGATTATTTTGGAAAAAGAGAAAAGAATGTACTGATATGGGTGTAGGAAGAACTCTGTATATGGTGGAGTTAGAAACTTGAGGAAGAGCAGATACGGCTAAAGGCATGTTTTGCTTCTGATACCTCTGTTTCTTGGGTGTCCTTTCTGGTTGTCCTAGTTGAGCAGTTCTATGGGAAGGGGTGAGATATCTGGCTTTCCTACAAGGGACAAGGAAAAAGCCAGCCAGGGAGAAAAGGTAAGTCACTTTAAATGTTTCAGTGAGTCAGGGACAGAGGTTGCTTCCTGGCAGAACATCTCATTGGTTCAGCTGATGCAACCAAGTAGATAGGTTGTGGGGAACTGATGAGGCTGAACATTAATCTCTAGTTTGGGGCCCATCAGAGTTGTCTGCTGAGTTTTCTAACCTATATTAGCTGTTTCATCTCGTCTTCTGCCTGCCAGTCCATCCAATTGATGATCCACCAGTCTTCACTGAAGACATGTTGGAAGGGATTCCACTTGGCTCTTTGAATAGCAGTGTGTTTTGGTGCCACATGACCTTCTCGGTGAATATGTGAAGAATGGAATTGTAGACACTCTTCCTCAGTGCTCTCTCACTATTCATAGCAAGTATTCAGTTTGGCAACCTGTATTTCTCCCTTGTTTCCCTGCCTTATATAAAGAGGGGCAAAGGAGGCATCTGATGATATAGTGTTCAAGCAGGACTTTGTGACTCTGAACAATTAGGGCTTTAGTCTTGCTTCTTCTGTGATGGTCTTGCCTCCCTCATTGCGAGACATTACTGTGACTCGTAACATATGCTCTTGCTGATGGTTGTTTTCCTCTGGGACCTGCAAGTACAGGCTTTACTCAACGTCAATTATATTGGCTCATAGAATTCATGTGTGTCGATTTTGACCCAGAGGACAAGACTGCTTTCAAAAAGGAGCTGAAAGAGTCTACACTGGTCAGCTCCCAGGCTTCACACCTACTGATTACACAATGATGATGGAAGCACAATTCAAATTAACATTATCATCTTGTCTCTGATGCCAAAGTCACTGGATCTTTCTGCACAGAAATTCTCAGCACTGAAGCCTTGTTGCAGAAAGGTGACATTAAGAAACCAGCTGAGGTGGCCTCACATGGAATACACCCACAAGGGGGAAGGTGAGAGCCAAAGCTCTTTACACCAGGCTGAAAACTGGCAAGTGAGAGAAGTTCAGGTCCTATTGTTGGGACCCACTGGTGGCTGTTCCATGTGTTCTCTGTAATCATACAGGCAGACAGACAACAATGCTTTGGTGCATTGTTTAAACAAAGGGTGCATACCATTGGTGCAATAGCTACATCCAGACTTGGACTTCCAAACTTCAGTGAAGAATGATCCCAGTGACTTTTCGCCATCTAGGAACTAGCAAGGACCTGGAGATTGAGTACGCAGTCTGTAACCAAACCCATATTGTTTCAGGGGAGATCTCTTATGCCTAGTTTTCCCTTGCTTCCCTGTGTTAGATCTGTACGCCACCCAGCATGATATTTGCAGCATGCCATGAATTTGGGGGGTTTTTCTTTGAGAAATAAGTTCAGACTTCATACTCATCCTGCAGTGCAATTCCAACTTCTTTTCATTTTTCCCAAATCACAGGATGCTGTCCAAAAGTAGAAATAGTGGGGTCTTGAAGGCCAAGACACTTTTCATCAAATCTATCAATCGAATATGAGATCTGAATCAAGACCAAAGAAATTTCATCCAGATCTGAAGCCCTTGTACTTAGTCTGGTTACAAATTGTGCCCAACAATGGCTGTAAACAAGTCTAAGTAATCATGCTAAAGAATAGAATGACTTATCAAATTGGGCAGGATTTTCAGTTTGCAAGTTTGCTGAGCTCAGTAGATAGATGAGCTTCAGTACTGTGAGTTTGTGACTATGTAATGCCTAAGCAGCCTTTTGGTTTTGGGTTTGTTTGTTTGTTTGTTTTTGTTCAGCTCCTTAGGATCCAGCTTGCAATGGTCTTGGTTTGTCAAAACTTGGTCGTTCATTAGTCTTCTATTGTCAACTGAGTTTCTAAACGGTTCAGCTCATACGGCTGGTTATCGCTCCTCATCTGTCCTATCCAGATGGGACACAGTTGGGAAGGATGGTTCACGCTGATTATTCTCATAGAATAGTGGATGGTCATCTATACTGAGGCATCTTGCAGGACCTCATAAATCAGCATGGATTCCACAGTTCACTTGCACCTATTTTGGGAATTCAAACTGTGACGGTGCTAAGGAAGTCATGGCTTCTTCATCTTTCTGAGTAGTCAAAGAGCAAATATACAGTCATAACGAGGCACTGCTATACAACAGAATCCGTCTGATTATCCTGTTGATAAACCTTTGCTTGAGTTCATGTGGTATCTCACAATCCACCACTGCATAAGATGAGGTCTTCCTCTTCCCACGTTGCTCCAATACTTTTACAGCCTGTCCCAGCCAGGGCAAATCTTTTTTATTGCTTTCTGGCAGACTTGCAGCCCTCAACTTCCTTAGTTTGGGTGGCAGAAATGCATAGCTGTACAGTGATTTCTATGCAAGGGCAATTCCTTATGAAAATAAAAAGGGCTGAAGACTCTCCAGGTTGGGTACATGGGCAGGGTTAAGATTCTTTTCCTTAGCCTTAGTAGAGTTTTTCTTTGACTTAGTAGAGCAAGAGACAGCAACCTCTGTTTGGGGGAGTATGGGTTGGAGTTGAGGGGGTAGCACTGAGAGTTGAGAATACGTGAACAGCCTGGCCACGTGAGAAGAACTGAATTCTAGTGTTGTGGGTCTGTGGATTGGAGCTTTTATACCAGCAGTTTGCAATGCGTCTGGATACTCAGGGCACATCCTTGACCCCGCTGCGTTGACGTGCTCTGGCTCCCATGCAGGCTTCTCACAGATACTGATCTTGCCTAGTGACCTTCTTGTCTGTACATATCTTTACCTTATCTGAGACATCATGCCAGCGTTGCCTTTCCCTTTTTCTTAAAAGCATGGGGCTCCCATTTAGGGAGATTGGGACTATAGAGTTGTTAGTTCCCTCCTCTCCCAGCAGCTATGCTCCCTTTGCGCCCCAATTACGTATTGTCCTCTGCTGACTCTCTCCTGTTACCTGCTACTCTATGCTCAGGTCCCCATCCGTGCAACCAAAATTGGTGGCAACGTTAAGGTGCGGCTTGTCATCTGTTGTGTTTTTGCTTGAAGAGAGTGGGTTTTATGGTGGGAGGGGGAGAGAACAAGTTGGTGTTATTATGGAAATTGGCCACTTTGGGGACTGCTTGGGCCACTGATCCCAATTCCTCAGTGCAGATGGCCTGGCTTGGGGGGAGGGTGCCAACTCCCCTAAACTACTTGGCTCAGAGGGACTATGAAAAGGGTCAGAGTTGCCCCATCTGTTTCAGGAATTATTCAAAATTATGCAATTTATGAGATATGTGTCCCTGATGCTAACCCTCCTTTCTTTCTTTTTCTTTCTCTCTCTCTCTCTCTCTCTCTCTCTCTCTCTCTCTTCCCCTCTCTATTCCCTGTATCTTGCAGTTCACTCTCATTCCTTGTCAAGTTAGAGCAGTTGGATCTTGGTGGCAATGACCTGGAAGTACTGGTAGGTGAGGGATGGTGGGGAGGGAACATGGGTGGTTGGTAGGGGCAGCACCCTAAACATTTGTGGAAGCAAGTGGTTTTTCATCTGAAATACAAAGAAATAGACCCTTAGGTTGTCTGGGAAAATTGTGGTCTGCCCACCATGGCCTAGTCATTGTTCCCATAATGTTCACTTCACGTGTTGGCCCTGTACCTCGCTTCCCACTATTCTGTTGCACTACTTGCTCTGCTCTTTCCAAGCCCTTTTGGTCTGGGAAGTTCTGCCTTGCTATCTAGCTGCCTTAGGATCTTTCCTTTCCAATTCTGAGATTCTCTACTTGTTACTCCCTTTCTCTTCTGTGTTGCCCTCTGCCACCATCTGTTGCTTCTTTACTTCTGCTAGGCCAGCTTTCTACCCTTCCCCTTTCTGATTTGAATTCTTCACTAGAACGAAAGTGCAGGACCATTCCATGTTGTTCCTAGCAGTGAAGTTAGCCAAGCATGGGGTGTGTGCCCTTGGGATGGGGTGTGCCACTATGGAGGGCTCTAAGAACATTGAGAGCCAGAACAGAATCTTGAGCTCCTCTTGATATGCAGGGGCATCAGCAGTGTTCTTTAATTTTGCAGCTATGGATTAAGTTGTTACTGAATCCTGCTCCTAATATTCTGGAATGCTTTTTGGTGGAAAGCTACCTAAAATGGGAGACAAAGGAGCTGGCTGGCACGGTTTGTTTTGCCCAAGGCTGCACCCTACTTGTGAGAACAGTTTTCTGACACTTGAACTGCACCTCAGTGGTGCATTAACTCCAGAACAAAATGATAATCAGTGTGTACATTGTTGTTTGATTAAAAACATAGTGATGCAATGAATGTATGTCTGTCATGGCTGATAGTGTTCATACATCATATTGGAGTGGCCGGTGTTATCAGAATGTTTTCATTCATGTCTATGAGGAGAAGACATATTTCTTCTGTGAGACCAAAATCTCCAAAACCCTATGTAGCTCTTGCCTGCTACCAGACAGCCCTTGCTGTTGTCTTCCATGTTTCCTGTTGGGAACTTCTGTAGCCAATATGCCAGCCCAGACACTTCCAAACATATGTGCTGCTGCATTGTGGCATATCAGCATGTTAGTATCATAAACTGTTTGGTGAGTGGGTTTAGGAGGTATGAAAGCTGTCACAATGTCTGGCTTTTCAGAGGTTTAGTGTGATGTGGAGCATCCTAGAGTAGTTTCTCCCCTTTGGAAGGAGCTGACATTATTACTCTCCTGATCTGTTACAGCCAGATACTCTGGGAGCATTGCCAAACCTGCGGGAGCTTTGGTTAGACCGGAACCAGCTCTCAACCCTGCCTCCAGTGAGTACCTGTTCAGGGCCATTGTTTCATTGCTTTGCTCCCTTCCCCTGCTGCTCCCTTGAGCCATATAGTGTCTTTTTTCTCATCCTAGGAGCTGGGCAATCTGCGCCGCTTGGTCTGTCTGGATGTGTCTGAGAACAAGTTGGAGCAGTTGCCCAACGAGGTCAGTGGGCTGGTAGCACTGACAGACTTGCTGCTGTCACAGAACCTGTTGGAATGCATTCCGGATGGGATTGGTGAGTACTGTGGGATGGGCACCAGGGCAGAAGCCTGTACTGCCCCCAAAAGTGTTCCTCAAGGCTTCAGGCAAGAGCGTATATAACAGGGTATTAAGACTTGCTGAGCATAGTCAGCGTAGGAGACGGCAGGAGCAGTAGAAGGTGTTGGTGAGCAGAACTTTACAGGACAAGTTCAGGTTCTTGATCTGCATTATGCATGGATGGAAGCTGTGAATAAGACTGGTGAGGAGGAAGATTAGTGCCAGTGTTGTTAGGTTAGATAATCCCTGGTGGGAGGCAATTCAGCCAGATGAACATGGGACAGTGTATTAACTCTGTGACAGAGTTCACACCTAGCTTGTTGCCCTGGCCAGGTCAGCTGAAGCAGCTCTCCATCCTGAAGGTGGACCAGAATCGACTGACAGAGGTGACAGAGTCAATTGGAGACTGTGAAAATCTGTCAGAACTCATTTTGACAGAGAACATGCTGACAGTAAGTATACTTGCAGCTACCCCTGCCTCTCCTGTGCTGTTCAGTTTAGCTGCACACCAGGAATCCTTTCCCATCCTCTGGTCTCTGAGCCAGATTTTTCAGCATGCTCTGACTGCTGTCCTTCTAGGTGCTTTGCTTCACAGAGATTCACCTAGCTCAGAGCCTCCTTGTGAGACCCTGGCGGAAGCTGTTTTTTCTAGATAATTAGTTGAAAAATTCTCTAAGATAGACAGGATGGATCAGTCCAGAAGCCATTCAGTCTGATGGGTCCAAGACTACATGAAAGGCCTCTTTTGATCAGGGGTCACACAGGAATGTAAATCAAAATGGACCTGCTCTAAACTGTTTGCAGCCTGATTGGTAAAACACAAATATTGGGAAGGGCCATGTGCAGAAAAATCTTTGCTGGTGGTGTTCTGGCTGTGCTGTGCTGAGGTGAATAGTTTACATGTGTAACAAGCTGTGAACCTGTGGGAAAATCTGGCCCAAGGTTAAAGTGAGAACTTTACTGAAATCTTGTCTATTAGAAAAAAAGGCAGCTTTTTTTTCATAAGGCAGAGGGGTTTATACCCGCTATGCCATTCCTATCTGGTATAACAACTCAATCTTTATCTCCTTCCTAGGCCCTACCAAAATCCCTTGGGAAGCTGACCAAGCTGACTAATTTGAACGTGGATCGAAACCGGCTAACATCCCTTCCAGCTGAGATTGGAGGCTGTGCCAATTTGAACGTGCTGTCCTTGAGAGACAATCGCCTGGCACTCCTGCCACCAGAGCTTGCCAACACCACTGAGCTTCATGTCCTGGATGTGGCAGGGAACAGGTAAACAGTAGATGGGGTAAACAGGCTCGTAGGCGTGTTCCTAAAAAGGCTGGTGTGAAGGAGGAGTGTGGGCTGGGCCCTGATGTATTTTGGGAAGCATTGGATCTGTGCTGATCCTAAGGGCACAGAAGTGTTAGGAGAGGCCTAAATTGGCAGCTTAGACTTCTGGAAAGAGGGAATGTATCTGTCAGCCCTTGCCTGTTAAGCCCTTCTCCATGTTAACTTGACATAGAATAGAACTGTTGCAGGGGTGTGTGGGCGTTTTGCTATCAGTGTGTGTGGAACAGAGATCTAGGGGAATCCCTGGTCCTCTTCTTCCTGCCTTCCAGATTTTGTAAGTTTTGTGTAATCAGTTCTCAGGTAATCGATGCCAAAGCCTTATGATATGCATCAGATTCTCTGTGACTGCAGGCATAAAAAGCTGACTTGCCTCTGAATGAGTACAGTATTCATTCAGTCTCTTCATCAGACTTTTCCTAGTCTAGTAGAAAAGCACCTCCTACTACTCTCATCGTCCGACCGCTTCCTACACACAAACATATGCATAGTCGTCATCGTAACGTACAAGCTCCAGAGTGGCTTTTGGTTTGATCTGTTTCCCTTGTGAAGCCTGTTCAGCCTTCAGCCCTCGGCAGTGGCCTGAAGTGAGCACCAAGCTCGCTGTCAGTTTTGTGTAAATAAGAACGTTGTATTTTCTCAGTAAAAAGCAGTCTTTGCTCGAAAAGTCTCTCTCTCAGCCCATAGCATAGGGTGTGCTCTGGCTATGACCCAGCTGTTGCTTGATTCCAGGTGTCTGAGGATTGCACGAGGCACACTTAGTTCTTATTCTTCTGCTTCTCTCCAGCCAGTGCCAGCTCAACTTCTCCATTGTTTTGCCAATGTCACTGGGATTTTGCCAACATTTTCTGTGCTGCTTAGGTGCCTCGCTGGGATTGTCAGCGTTTATAGGGTAAAATTCAGTCTGAATAGTGGCTCAATACAAAGCACAGCCTGAATGCCACTCAGCAAAAAATTGTTGCATACTAAAATTCTGTACTTTATGCAGGAATGGAGTTTTTTTTTTTTTCTCTAGAGATTTGTATGTGGTTCACTGGTTGCATCTGTGTGCTGACATACTATTTGGAGGTAGAGAAGGCAGAGTTTCTGCCCAGTACCATGTGACAGGCAGCAGTGTAATGGTTTGGGGCTTTGCTGTTTAGAAACCCTAGAATTCAGAGACTGGATGGACTAGTTCAGGCTTTCATATAAAAAAACAAAACTGTGCAAACGTTTGTAGTCTGGTCTGAAATCTGCCGATTTTAGCTACAGTCTCATTAGCTGAGGCTTGTGTTTCTAACCAAAGTTGGAAGCTGACCAGACCTTCTGTTTGGAACAGCAGTCCATGAAAGCATCATTTTTTCTGCTTTCAACCCCCTCTTTGAAGTTCACCATTTCCACATTGTTGATAAGAGTTGTCATCTGCTAAAACCTGGTATGGGTTCCTTGTGGGTTACTGGAGTCCAGTTTGTGGCTGTGGCAGAGCCACATGCAGCAGCATGAGCCAGCTGCTTCAGGGTGTACAGGAGTGAGGGATCCTCCAGTGGCTTGGTTCTATCCTTCTCTAACACAGATAATGCCGTCTGGGGTTGCCTGGAAGTTCCTTCATGGCCAAATAAGTTTAATCAGCAGTTCTTCTTTTCTCTTGCAGACTGCAGAACTTGCCATTTGCTTTGACGAATCTTAACCTGAAAGCCCTCTGGCTGGCAGAAAATCAATCCCAGCCCATGCTGAAATTTCAGACAGAGGATGATGAAAAGACAGGAGAAAAAGTTCTCACTTGTTACCTGCTTCCCCAGCAGCCCTCTCCCAGTCTAGGTAAGAGGCTGCATCATGAATGCTGTCTGCTGTACCACGCACTCTGCAGAGTGCCGTAGAGAAGAGGCCATGAACCGTACTGATCCAGGTTCCACTGCCTGATCCCTTAGCCTTTTCTCAGGGGTGCCTTCCTCCCTGCCTTGGCCTGTTTTTGGTTACTGTGGTAGCCGTACCAGACTTAGTGTCCTGACTGGCTTTTGGCAACTTTCCAAGGCAGAGATTATTAAACAGAAACTGCTTCCCTGTCAGGTGGTGAAGACGCTGCAGCCTAGTCTTCCAGTCTTCTGCTTTTATCTGTTGGCTGAGTAGTTCATTGTCTGTAAAGTTTGCTTCCTGACATGATGACGTTCTTGCGTCAACAATTCTGATTTGTGCCTTAATCCTGCCTTTTTCCTTCAATGCTTGGGTAAGATGTGCTAAAACTGAACCCTTCGATACCCTTTGTAGGGGCTATCATGGATCTGGCAAGAGGCATACCAGAGATGACAGGATCTGGAGGCTTTATCCTTTGTCCTCAGTGCCTCTGCAGCTTGATGGCCATGGGCAAATACGATAAAGTGTTCTAATGGGATGAGAACTGTCTTTTGTCCAAGCCCACAACTCTGCTCATTCAGAAAGTAGCTTCCACTTTGTTATCCTTCTCCCCAGAGAATTTGTTGCAGAACAGTGTGGATGAGAGCTGGACGGACACCAATTTAAACAGAGTCAGCGTGATTCAGTTCCTGGATGAGCCCAAAGTGGATGATGAGGAGGAGTCTGGAGCTGAGAGAAGGGTAAGAAGGATTTCTAGGCTTGTTAGCTCTCTGTAGAAATATGGACATAATCTACAATTTTTTCCTAGTACAAGGAGCCGTTATGGTGTTCCTGTTTCACAGCCCCTGTACTATTGCTGCAAGCATGTACTATATTTTTGCAGTCCTGAGGGCATGAGATTCCCTGAGGAGACAAGCAGGTATAAAAGCAATTGCCCTGAGAGCCTTTCTGCAGACTTAATTTTGACAGCCATCACGTGAGAGTTGAACTGTGCCTGCTAACCTGTCTGTGGAGCACTTGCTATCCCAGAGATTCTGATGGTCACAGCAGTGTTAGTACTGGATTGTAGTTGGCCCCCCTCTATGGAGAAATGCAACACCTCCAAACCTGAGCCAGACAATCTCCAACCCGCTCCCCTCTCTGGAGCCACATGCAGTCTGATGCTGTGGAGTATCCTGTAACTAAGGTGGCTGAACTTTATAACTCTAGACAGAAAACCTAAAAACATATGGCAAATCATTTTACTTTAATTCCAGGTGCAAAGGGCAGGATCAAAGTTTCAGTTTTCAGCAAGCACCACATTGGTTTAAATGTCCTGCAGGATTTCTTGCTCTTTTCATCTTGTCGAGAGAGATTATCCTGAGATCTGAATCCTTCTAATAAAAGATAATTGGCTGGTCCCAGTGCTGCATCTGTCCTTGCAGCACTGAGATCTTTTTTCTGCTGATGTTTGGATTTTTTTTAATTGTTATTAATTTTAAAATGCTGAATGTTTTGACTCCTGTTGTGAGGTGGACCCAGCTGAGCATCAGAAGTTCTGCTGACACAAGAGTTTGTCAGACATTTTAAGAAATGTCAGACAGATCAAGAAGAAATTCCACCTGTGTGTTCCTCTAGGGGTTTCTGGGTTGACTGTGTCATGGTGTTTGCAAAGACTGAAGCACAGTTTAAAACTTCCTGCCTGCATAACTTCTCCCAGTCCCTCTATCAGTGAGCGGGATAATGCCCAAGACGAATATCTGAGAAGTGTAATCTTTCATGTCTGTCCTCTTCCCAGCTGCAGGCTGTAATAGAGGAGAGACCTGGATCACATCCTGCAACGTGACAGTTAGATTGGGTCCAGCTGGAGCTCTATTGGTCTGATTAAAGCTTGTCATTTGAACTGACAATTCAGTCTTGAGGCATGGTGCATGTTGTTCTGGCTGTTGAATCTCCTGCTCTGAGTGTTTTTCTTTGGTAGGGCTTACAGCGCAGAGCAACCCCTCATCCCAGTGAGCTGAAGGTTATGAAGAAAGTGATTGAAGTTCGGCGCAATGAGGTATATGCTGCAAAGCCTGACACAGACCTGAATTCTCCTAACTCAGAAGTAAGTGCTGTTCACTAAGAAATAGATAACCATAGACCCATGCATAACAGATTTGGAGAACGGGGAGACAGTGCTTGTAAGCTGGGCATGAACAACTTATTTAGGGGAAAGGTTGGAATGAAGACCCCTGGTGGCAGGGGTCACTGACATAGAGCAGAAGGTTCAACCAGGATACAGAAAAGGGCGTAAGGGGAATTGTGTGCGTTAGTGCCACTCTTATCACGGTACAGGGAGAGGAAAATAAGGCTCTGATGTTCTGAATAAAGAATGATGGGAGTAGTGTGTTTGACGGAGATGTCTTGCTGCCCAGGTGTAATATTGAGAATAAATGCCCACGCAGATGGTGGAACTAAGGTGGACCTAGATGAGAAGTAGCAGACTTGACAGGGAAGGCAGCAGCTAGTCTGAAGAAAAAGGTGATTCTGTTGGCACTGGATCGTATTCCACCTTGTACCAGTCACGTTACAGTGCTCCATCTGCTGCTTTGGCTTTCATCTTGACTTTTACAACCTATTGTCCTCCCAGGAGAAGAGGCTGAGTGCTATCTCAAATCGCAGTGAGGACTCACACCTTTCCAACAGCACTGCCTCTGCTGACTTTCGGGGAGAGGAGCAGGGAGAGGAAGGAGAGAGGAACTGGCCAAACGGGCGGGTGCCTGAGATGCAAGAGCTGGAGAAGGAAGCAAAGCCAGGAGCTGAAGGGGAACATAAAGAAGCAGCTGACCAAGAGGAGGAAGACGTGGAAGTGGAATACAATGAGGTAGGAGCCTAGGAGCCACAGCAAGGTCATGATGAAAAAGCAGAAGGACCTGAAAGTTTCAGTGAAAACGATAAATGGGTGTACAGAGTCAGCTGGCCTTCACTGGAGGCAAATGAAGCCCATGGATGCCCAAGTGTGAGTAGAGATTCAGGGAGGCTGTGGGAGCTGGGTACATGGGAAACTAGGAAGGATAACGTGGGAGCCAGGCAGGGACTGTGGGGAAAATCAGGGTTACAGGATTGAGTGTCCTCATTCCTTGGAACTGACAGGAGATGTGTCTGGGTGAGGGAGCTGATATGGAAAAAGAGAAGTGCGGTGGAAGTTGTAATGAGTGTTCCTGCATCTTCTGTAGCATAAAAGCAGCAGCACTGGCTTTGCCTGTATTGGCAGTGGAGGGACAGCAGGTTTCTGTGCTGCCTCCAGGTATAGCTGTTGTCTGAGGCTCACAGCCTTTGGGGGGCTTTGCCTTTGTAGCCCACTGTACACTTTGCTGAGGACACACTGATACGGAGTGAGGATGAGGATGAGGATGAAGAACGACCATTCCCAGTGGAGAAACAGAGGCTAATCCGCAAGGACACACCCCATTATAAGAAACACTTTAAGATAACTAAACTGCCCAAGCCAGAGGCAGTGGTGGCACTCCTGCAGGGGCTGAACAGTGATGGAGTCCCCAAAGAGGAAGAGGAGTTAGGAGGCTGCAGTAACAACACAGAGCCTGAGGATCAGGAGGAAGCATGGGATGAGGATGATATAAAGAATGGAGCTTTATCCACTCAGCCGTCAGTGAAGGTAAGGTCTTGTGGGGAGGGGGGGGGGTAATCAGAGGGGTTCCAGATGTCCCTTCTGCTGCTTTGAACTCCCGGGTCTGGTGCCAACAAAAATATTGGCAAGAGGCTCTAGCCCTTCAGGAGAGACATACTTGAGGGTGGGAGAGCTGAAGTTCATTCTGGGGCTGATACGATTGTCCAGTAGCCTTGCTACGTTGCTTATGTCTGACTCCTTTGCTGTGTTTAAATTCTTGCACGCTCCCCACCTGTGTGTGATACTGTGTTCTGTGCTGCAAGAATAGTTCTTTTGTCCTATCACTGACAGGTTATTTTGTTCCTTTCAGTTGCGTCTTCACTTACTGGTTGTTGCACCTCATCTGCAACAGGGTGAGCTGTGTCCCTGGATACATTCTAATCTCCTCAGACTTATGTTCAAGCTGCTTGCAGCTGTCCTTTTTGCTGCAGTGCTCCCTGGAGAGGAGTGGGCAATGAGAGCAGAAAGGAGCATGCACGCTGTGCCTGCTCCAGTACAGATGCATTCTGATGATGTGTGCACTGGGATTTGGGGGAACCAGTGCTCTGGAATTTTGCCATTGCCATGGTGAGCTTTACTGGTCATGCTGGGAGTTGATGAGTCCTTGGCTCTACTCAGCTGAATCACTCACTATACTTGACCAGGGACACATGGAGACTTTTGCTTGGGGAAAGATGCTCACAGTAGAATAGAAGTGTATACTGATGAGGGACAGTGCATGAGGTCAGGCTCATTCTTGTTGAAGTTGCTGATAATTTTGTGAGGTTATTTAATGGGCAGGGATAGGATGGGGCTGAATCTCCATCATAGTATGACATCCACAGATCCCATGGATAAGATTTGGGTCTCTGAAACCGGTGTAAGATGTTGGAGTAATGGCTATTCTTGCTGTGTGCCCCTCTCCACCCTCTCTTGGACTGCTGGGATCAGTTCCACCCCACACTGGAGTTCAGATTGCACAGGGAAGGTTCTTGCGCTCAATCTTACTTTGAACTTTTCCCTCGGTAGATGCTTACCTTGCCCTGTCTGCGCTGGTACTTGCTCTCTAGGGACCAGACATGAAGTTTCCTTGCTGTTCATGAAATTCTTAAGAGTAAAAATGAGTTGCTGCTGCTGCTGCTTGTAAGAATGTATGAGGCCAGCTTGAGTCCTCTACATCAGACCTGCCATTACTTGGGAAATATCCTGACCCAAAAGACTTATTTTAGTTTGGGCCTCAGAAGTAGGGATACACTGCCCCCTTGGCAACATCTACAAGGACTTGAGACCACAGGTTTGGTATCTCATTATTAAAAAGTCATCTTTGTTATTTACTAAGACTTCTGCCTGGAAATAACAGTTCTTCTCTTCTTGGGGCTGGGCTGAATGCCTGCTCCATGAAGGCAGGTTTGCTAACTTACCTCCTGAGCTGTGTTCCAGAAATGGCAGTGACGAGAGCAGTGTCCCTGTGGAGCAGAGTCTCAAGAAGCATTGCACATGTGTTGAGGAAGGAGATAGAACAAGGTGTGCAGGAAGCTGAATCCTTGAACCAGAGCATTTTGGGTTTTGTTGTTGGTGGTTTTGGTGTTTCTGCTAAGATAGTAGGTTTTTGAGAGAAATTCCAAGGTTTCCTGCATTTGGGAGCAGAATCCTATGGCATCTGTCCCACCAGAGCCTTTCCTCTTTGCAGGAGTGAGCAGTGCAGTTTGATTTGAGATAGCCTCATTCCTGTGCAGCAGCTGGGTGGCACCAGAGGGCCGTTTGTGCTTTCCTCTTGCGTTGTTTAATCTTCCTTCTTCAGTGAATGACTGGGCACCGAGGGGGGTAAAAACAGATATTAGTGTTCAGCTTGTGAGCTTGGTGGTCACATCCTCAGGGTGCCAACACAGATGAAATACTGCCTTTAAGATGTAGCTTCCAGTGAACTGGGCCAAAGAGTGCTGACACTCTGCATGTTGTGAGCCCGGGAGCAGCCCTGTCGCTGGTGCTCGCTGTGGTAGGTGGTAATTAGGAGTGGTGTGAGTGGGGTCTGCTCTGGTGCTGTGTGGCCAGACCTATCGGAATGGTGTGCGGTTGTGTGTTGGGTGGTGGTGGTAGTGGTGGCGGGTTTGGTTTATGCTCCACTAATCCGCATGCCTCTTTGCTGATTCCTGTCCTAACAGGGGGTGTCGTTTGATCAAGCCAATAATCTGCTGATTGAACCTGCTCGCATTGAGGAGGAAGAGGTCTGTACCATTCCTACTGTTCTTTCTCTGCCAAAAATCATTCAATCTGCTTGATTTGCTTCCCAGGCTCACCCATTGTTGTAGGGGGAACTCTGATCTATCTGGGTCAAGTGGCTTCCGGACCTGACTGATCACAAACACACAATGATTGTTTCCTCCCCTTCTTTCACCTCCTTTCCCTACCTTTCCATACCTGAGGTGAGAATGGCTGCTGCAGAGGGAGATGGAAGAAATGCAGAAAAACAAAGAGGGGGCTGAGATGGAAATCTTATTTGCTGTACACTGAGGAAGGAGAAGGTGGAAGAAAATAAATGCGTACTTTCAGGGGTGATAGGTAGCGCTGAAGGAGCAGAGACCTCAAGAATCTGCTAATTGCTGTGTATGAGCTTCTGGGGAAGGGAGGGGAATCTAACTCAGGAGCCTGTGCCGTTGGGTGAGAAAGGTGGACGGGAGCTAATGTTTCTTGCATCTCATGCAGCTCCCCCATAGACGCCCCTGAAGTCTTCACATGCAGCCCTTTGTGACATCCCAAAGGGGTAGGTGGCACTAGAGGGATCGTAAAGCCCCATCATGTGTATGGTGTTCTGTGTCACAGTTTAAAGTCCTGTGTCTTGCTACCTTAGCTCATCCTCTGACTATGATTAACTTCTTGAATTTGTTTCCAACAGTTCAGTGGGCTTACCTGATCCTTTGGGTGAGTGAACTGCCTGCAGGCAGTACTTCCAGGGAACTGCAGGAAGCAGAATGTTACTGGCACTGGCAAGAGGCAGAAACTGTCAGTGCTAACTGCTTGCTGCAAGGATACTTCTTTCATGACAGTACAATAGTATCAGATCCATGTATTACATCAAGGTGCTGGCCTAATTGTCTCTGTGAACTTGCCTCTTTGCTTCTCCCTCGTGTGCGATGTGGAGACTTCTTTTCTTGGTTTTGGAATAAAGCTTGCTGGGAGGGAGGTGACAGAAATCCTTTCCATTTCAGGCAAAAAGTAAACTGGCTCCGTTGTGATCCACTCTTAGTGTGTCGTGAAGATTTGTCCATCTCCTTAGCTCTAGATCATTGAAAAACATATTCACATTTCTTGCATTTCTCTTTTGTATAGTTCTTCTATCACTCATAATGAGACAAAACTCAGCATAGCCAGGTGGTTCCTACTTCCTTCATTTGGGAACTCACTGCTCTTAGGGACTGGAGCATCTCTCCCATGAGGAAAGGCTGAGAGAGCTGGGACTGTTCAGCTTGCAGAAGAGAGGACTGAGGGGGAGGGGGTTTTATCAGTGTGTATAAGCATCTGAAGGGAGGGTGTAAAGAGGACGGGGCCAGGCACTTTTCAGTGGTGCCCAGCCACAGGACAGGAGGCAACAAGCACAGACTGAAACACAGGAAGTTCCTTCTGAATCTAAGGAAGAACTATTTTACTGTGTCTGTTATAGCTACACCAACAGGCTGTTTGCCTGAGCAAACTCTGCAAGGCCATTGCAGAGCAGAGCACCTGGTGCCTCTTGAGCAGTTCAGTGTAAGTTCATAATGCTGTCACGTTCCTTGTACAATTTTATACAGCTCTTAGAGGGAAGGAACTACTGATTGTGTGTTCTTTAAGCCAGAATCCTGAGCCAAAGATTGACCTCAGTAGAGTAGCAACAGAGACATCCACCTGATTTCTGTCAGCACCCCAACTTCAGGGTGTAGGGAGCCTGCCGTGGTGCATGCAGCTGGTATTTCCTGATCTCCCATGACTGTTAGTGCATATGGGACTCTGGTGCAGGTGAAGGAATAATTTTGTTAAAGCATAGGACTAGCTGATAAGATACCTGGATTCCATGGCTGACTCTCAATGTGTTGCCTCAGTCTCCATCTGTAGTATAGGAATGGCTGTATCTGGGTTGTAGGGAGGCTTCTACAGGGAAAAAGTGTATCAAGCTGCTTGTTTGAAGGCATGGAGTTGCACCTGGAATCTGCTTGGTTTAAGAGAATTTTCAAAGAAACAGAGCGTCCAACAAGAGCTACTATGTGGATTGACGATGATAAGGGAAAGAGGGTCCCAAGCTCTGTTTAAGTGACTTAGATTTCTTCGTATGAGATAATGGCTGATGTCATCCTTCCGGTTTTGCCTAGCCTTAACCTCTCTTCTGTAGAGCACAGTGAAAATAAGAGGCATGAAGGACTCTGCAGTGGCAAAACCTGTGCTGGTGGAGGAGCTTTGCACTGATGTGGAGGAGCTTTAGAGGTTTTTGCTTCTGCCATGGGGCTTTCACACAGCTGCACAAGGCCATCTAGAGAGGATGCGCTGGCAATTTCCCTCCCTAGGAAAAACCTAGACTGCTCTTAGAGGTTCAAAGCTCCTTGGCTGACTTTCTGGCCAGAGGGCAAAAAAAATGCTGTCGCCTTCCTCTGCTCAGTTGCGAAATCCTGTCACTCTACGGTCAGGAGTAAGTCTTGTCTTCTCCTTAAAGTAGTTTTGCCCTGTGGAAATTGCTCAGAAATGTCACCATTTACACTTGAACGCAAGCCTTGTGCTTATCGCCACAACTACTAGTTGCCAGAAGCAGACTGTGACAGCACAATTTGGTCCTGAAACTTCCAGGCTTAAAGGGGTTCAACTTTGAAAAAGTTGATCCGTTCCATCAGGAATGTCCTGCCCTCCTGAGCAATCCTGTTCATCTCAGTGATGCTGCTGAAATACTGCCTTTTACTTGGACCTCTATGCCTTTACCTCTCTCTTTGTTTTCTTTTCTTTTTCTTATATTGTCTGCTGGGTGAGACCACTGTACTTATCAGTACGTTGTCAGGCTTTGAATTCTTATGTAGCAAACTTTATTTTCTCACAGAGTGAGCTGTAAATTTTAAGCCATGAAGAGATTTATTAATCTCTTTTGTATAATGCGAGATCATGTCACCTGTATTTGCTCAGCTGACTTGACTAGAGCATACCTTCTAACAGAGCATAATCCTCTTATAAAGTTGTCAAAAGATGCATTACCCCACTCTCTCTCTACTTAGTTTTTAAAATGGCTAATTATCCCATTGAGCAAGAAAAAATGTGCTATATTTTCTGTTTACATTTGTCTTTTAATTTCTAGCCATACAATTTTTTAAGGACCTTTTCCCACTGGGTTGAAGGGGCCTTACTGTTCTTTCTTGTTCTGCGACTACTTCCCTGCAGCATTTTGAAAATAGGGATGGTAATCTTTTCTTGTAGATGTTGAACTTTGCATTTAGGTCTATTAAGGTCATTTGGTCATTAGGTCATTTGAATACGATGCCCCTGCTAAGTGACAGCAATTACATGTGTGATTATTTCTTATTCATCTTGGTATGTCACACTGTGTCAGCTGCAAATTTTAACAGATCTGGAGCTTTTTTGAGACCCAGGTAGCAAACTGTGGAATGATTTCTCACAGCAATGAATAGCTACCTGCAGGGTTTCCTTTTCCTGCTCTAAGAGTGTGGCACACTCATCTGGTTTGCTTTCTCAGATAGAAAGAAACAAAAAGCAATAGAGGAGCCTCTTTTAACAAAGAGGGAAAAGGTGTTTTGTTTAAACAAAACGCTCCCCTGAAAATCTGATTTTTTCCTTTTGCAAATGGGGAAAACAGACTTTATATAACAGATACAGGTCTTGCTGCTTAGGACTAGTATTATACAGAAATGTAGGCATTAAAATAACACCCATAGAAATTAAAATTGGTCCCTCCCTCTAAAAATTGGTCCCTCCTTGCAAATTGAATAGCAGAGAGAGTGGTGATAGCCGAGAAAGAGAACTCTTAGAACAGTTTTGAGACTTTGTGGTGGATAGCATCTCCAGCTTGGATACAGGAACTGGAAGGAGACAAGAGTTGTTCAAATTGTGATAGTTTGCCCTTTCTGGAAGATATGCTTTGACTAACACACACATGCACACACACAATCCAGTGTGCTCAATTTGGGAACATCTAGTGGACATTTAAGAACAAGATAACATAGATTTGGAAGAAATATTGAAGTCAAGTCTCCTACAACCACTAGCGACATGTACTATACTCTCTTTCAAACTTTTTATTAAATATAGGTAGATCCCCCCCCATACCCTCTGCGCACCCATACACACACACTCAGGTTTTTCCTACTGGGAGGAAATTCCAGAATTCTACTTCTTAAATGATAAGAAAGCTTATTTTTAGGCTAAACTTGCATTTGTTAGTTTTTTGTTCTCGTTATCTTTTCTCTTGAAAAAATCTCTTTCCCGCTATCTGACCCTTTGTCTCCTTCTCTGTGGTAAATTTTTATGGACCTCAGTCACAACCCATTTCAGCCTTCGTTTTGCTACATTAAAGATACCAAATTCTTCTAGTCCCGTCTTATAAGATAGGTTCTTCATTCTATATCACTGTTATTGCTCTTTCATGCACCTGTGCTGTTTGAGTTCAACTTTATTGACTGGATGACAGGCCAGAGTTGATTCAGACTTCAGTACCCTAAATTCTGTAGTTTTCCTTCCACTTCAGATGTGGTAGTTTCTGTTCACGGATGTGAATTCTCTTTAGCTATGCTGCTTTCGTTCCTGCATTCAGCATCAACACCCTTACTGTGTTCTGTCCACCATACTATTTTGTGTACTTAAACATGTCTGTTCTCGTATACTGTAAAATAAGTGATGCCAGGTTTAACGTAAGAATTTTTCATCTATTTCATTGTCACCTTAGACAAACGCTTTCCCAGTGTATTGTCTGCCCTCAGCAGCAGCATTTGAAAATGAAGCACAATTCTTAATTGAGGCTAGCCAATGAAACAGATTTTAGAAAAAAGTCATAAATTCTCTAATCCTGTCAGCCTTTCAATTCTATATTAAATGAGATGCTAAAACGGACCTTTAGAACAATTAAATTATTGGCCTGGCGGGAGTTTCTAGGTGAAATTTTACAGTCTGAATGATGCAAAATATGCAAAATAGATTGTGTTAACAATTCAGAATGAAAAAGATTCATTAAGAATTGGAATAAAAGACCTTTTTAGCTGAAGAG